TGCTGGGTTTATTTAGTGATTTAATTGTATTTAATTTCACGACAGGTTTCCCCCCCCCCCCCGCTTTAATTTCAGCAAGAAAGCCCCGTGTGCCTTTTGTTATGATTAATCATTTTCCTTTGTTTTCATTTTAGATCCAATGGCTGTTTAGCCTGGACGACACGTGACCCCCCCAGTTCTTTGTATCCAACAGAAGATGATGGGTAATTTTAATTGGCGTGAGACTCCTTCGAACAAGATTTTCCAAAGTGGAAGGGAAGGGGGTGGGAAGGCGGAGGAAGGAGGTGGGTGGGGGGGAGAAAGAGGAGAAATGAAGCCCCTGGCGATTAACTTTTTAAGTAAACACCATCAGCTAGGAAAAGTGTTCCCATTTTATAAGCTGTAAAATAAAAAGCAGGTCTCCTAAGGGAGAAGCGGGAGAGGAGGGAATAGACAAATGTCTTTCTTGTTAATGTCTAAAAAAAATAGAATATTTTCCCCTCCCCCCCCCTTTTAAATATAGTTGTTCCCTTTTATGGCTGCAGATCCTGCCTCCCTTTTGTACGGCTGCTTTCATAGCTCACCAATGGGACACCAACAAATTAAGAACAGAAAGTTTATTCAAGAATTGTTCAACAGACGACCCTTAAGCAAAGAAATCAAGTAATCTACTGTGAAAGAACAAATAAATTTTTAAAAAATGTTTCAAAAAACAAGGGCGAAGGAGAAGTGGTGGAGAAAGGGAAGAAGAGGGGGGGTTAGCTAGTTTCTTCTAACTCAGGTCTATACAGTTACAGTCTGGCTCTTCTTTCATGCCTCCAATAGAACTAAACACGTTATTTTTTTTTAAGTACGAAGGTAACTACTGGTTTTTCCCCTAAATTACAATAACTAAAAAAAAGAAAGAAAGAAAAGAAAAAGAGAGAGACAGAAAGAGAGAGAAAGGCAGGTTGTACAATGGAAGGGGGGAAACACCATGTTCTTTTATAACAAGTAAATACTAAAAAAAAAAGTACATTTTTCTTATAAATACATAATGTTGGGGATAAATAATACAAAGAAAAAAATAGTTTAAAACTGGCTATAACAAATAAATATATAATATATATATTTGTATTTATATATATGAATGTTCACCGGAACACACGCACACACGCACCTGCATTGAATGTCGTCTCCAATGGGTGCCCTTCAAAAGTTGGTATATCTACCCATTTAAATGTAAACTCTAAGTGCAAGAAATATGCCAGGCCCAATAAGAAGCGTCAGTAAGAATCCGCCCTGCCTTCCCCTCCCCAAAGGACGGTTTACTTCCGTTTCCGTTTGGCGACATATCAGCTTCTGTTCAAATATACCCTGTTTTCACGTTCAAGAGAAGAGGAGACACAGACAGACGCCAAGACGCCTTTTAGGAGTGAGGGGCTTTCCCGCCTTTCAGGGGCCCTAAAGAAAGGGGGATAGCCGCTTCATCGTGAGGAAGGAGAGCTCAAAATGGGCACACATGCCAAAATTTTCTTCCTTCCTTTTTTCAGTTTGGACCCTTGTTCCACATTTATTAAAAAAAGAAGAAACTCCAGTTTCACTTTAGAAATTCCTTTTGCTAAAGGACACCTAGGGTTGCCAACTCTGGGTGAGGAAAGACCTGGAGGTTCTGGGGGTGGAGCCTGGGGAGGGTGGGGTTTAGGAGGAGCGGGACCTCAACAGGGTACAGTGCCATAAACTCCACCCTCCAAAGCTGCCATTTTGTCCAAGAGAACTGATTTGGAGATTAATGGCTGGAGATCTCCAGGCCCCACTTGGAGGGTAACAACCTTAGCACCCCATGTTGTTCCGCTCCCCCAGTTCTTGAAAGCAAGGGGAGATACTGGGAGGCAGAGAAGAAATTAAACTCTGAAGTGTTGGCTATGGTGGACATTCTCAGATTGTGACATGAGGGGAAGGGGAAGGAGAGAGTGGCCCAGTATCAATTTAGAAGGGGCAGTTCAACAGATTGTAGGGAGAAGGTGGGAGTAGAAGACTTCATGAAGGCAGCTTCCTACTCAACCTCTTGGGTACCCTTTTGTGTATTGATACAGTTGTGACTTAGATTGGGAAGAGGGTCCATAGTTTTAAGAATAGGCCATGTGTTCGAGACCCAGGTCCACAACTTCGTGTGCATATTGTAAGATTTCTTTCCCTTCAAAAAAGAAATTAAATCATATATTTTGTTTGAATTATTTCCTTTTTTTAAAAAAATCAGCACCCTTTTCTACATTCAAAAAAAATTGTGCTGAAACCTCAGGGGAAAGATAAATATGAAACACAAACTTGGAATCCCTTAATTGGCTACCCAGAATTATTATTCATGTAATAGATTCCAAAAAAGGTATTTTCAAAGGATTGAGAAATCCGCCCCTTGGTAGTTCTAAGCCACCCAGCCTGATATCTATGTATTTTTTTGTCTTCAACAGCATATTGAGCGAGCCTAAACAGGTCTATACAGAAGCCCATTTTAATCAATGGGGCCTACTCCCAGAGAAGTGTTTTTAGGATTGCAACTATAGTTTGCAGTTTTAAACAGTTTAATGTGCTAGTCCACATGGAAATTAGATTTAATTCCAGTCAAAGGTATTGGAGGGAAGGCAGGCATAGTATAGTCCAGTCTCATCAGACCTTGGAAGCTAAGTAGGGTTGGTAGTACATGGAAGGGAGACCACCAAGGAAGACTCTGCAGAGGAAGACAATGGCAAACCTGCTTGTCACTTGCTTTCAAAGCTCTTTGCCGGGGATGCCATGGCCCTTTACACATGCAAGGGTATTTGGCTTTGGGGCACTCCAATCCAATGCTCCCTCTAAGCTGTGGAGTCTTGTGAGCAAAAATTCTACTTTGTGAGCCATTGGCATTAAACTTGTGAGCAAACAATTTGGCTACTGCATAAATTAGTTTGCTCTGGAGCCATCCTTCCTAAGCTGAGACAAAAATGTGTGAGCCAGAGGCTAGAAAACTCTGAGTTAGCTCACACTAACTCAACTTAGAGGGAACACTGCTCCAATCCATACAAGAAAAAGCCACTAGGCAAGTTCCCCAGTACAAAACCCACTGATTTGAAACTGCTCAAGAGAATTTCCGGCAGGACTGTGCCCAGTTACCTTTTCAATAGGCCCCATGGCCAAGAAAGTGTATCTAGGGCCGCATGGTATAATCTCAAGCCATCTAAATAGATTTATCAACCAACCAGTTGGTATTCTAGTTAAAATGAAAGGCTCATATGTAAACGAGAGCTATTTTATAGTTTATGTGTGTCTTGTAAATATGGAATAATTACCATTACATTCAACATTTTACCTACTCATGACCTTTAGTTTTGCCATTCAGGTTATAACCACACACAAAAATGGTAGAAGAATGCTGAGAGCAGTGTTCCCTCTAAGTTGAGTTAGTGTGAGCTACCTCAGGTTTTTTAGCCTCTGGCTCACACATTTTTGTCTTAGCTCAGGATAGATGGCTCCAGAGCAAACTAATTTATGCAATAGCCAAATCACCTGCTCACAGCTTTAATGCCAGTAGCTCAGAAAGTAGCATTTTTGCTCACAGGACTCCACATCTTAGAAGGAGCATTGGCTGAGAGCCAGTGTGGTATAGCAGTTAGAGTGGAGGACTGGCAGCTGGAAGACCCAGGTTCAAATCCCCACTCTGCCATGGAAGTTGATTGGGTGACCCTGGACCAATCAATGCCTCTCAGCCAAACAGGAGTAGGAGACCACATGACTAATTTGGGTCTGGAGGAAGGTGGGGTATAAATATCCACATTAATACATTGAGAGAAAGCTTGGGGCAAGGTTTATGCCTTGTTTATTCAGCCTACTGTGATCTCACTGGGGCTACTGTGGGAGTAGTCTGTCCCATCCAGACTTAGCAACAGCTCCACTTCAAAAGAAGTAACCTTCCTTAATTCCAGTGCTTCCTCACCTACAATGACAGTATTTGAAATGCTGTTTTTCTTGAGAATAATTTTTACATGCTCCTCTGAATGGGGTATTAGAATGAGCTGGCAGAGTACTGGGCCACTTCAGATTGAAGGTGGGGGGGGGTTATGTCTGAATTCTCCTCTTTATTCAAAACAGCAACAGCTTCATCGCAAATAAAAACTAGCAGATCAGGAAGACACACTAGTTTTATTGCTGGCAGAGATTACTTTTGGGAGGTGGATAGCATTCAGGAAATGAGACCCAGCCTTCACTTTGAAATGGTCCAGAATTTTGCCACCACCTTTTAACTGCCTCAGTGACCAGATCAGCCCACATAGTACTGGGGATGTGTATTTCTTCAGGAGGTGATGGAACATGTTTAGAACTGCCATGTTCATGGCTCCACCCTCTGCCACGTTCACATCCTTTTGTGACCGTTGACTTTAACTGGCTTAGGAGGATATAACTCTGCTTTGGGTGACACTGTCAGGCAGTAAGATCTTAAAGTGACTAAGGGAAACGTACAGAGACCAAGAAATCCTACTGAGTCTACAAATCCATTTTAACTGATGACTTCTTTCAAGGGGGCGGGGGGTCTCTTAGACCTATTCATAGGACCTGTTCTTTTTCTCTTTATTGTTTTTCAAGAAAATGCTCAATTTTGGAATTCAAAGGAAATCACACTGTGAGCATGCCTGAGAGCACTTTCTTCCGTGCTGTGGAATCACAAGTCTCCCCTATAGACCTGAGAATTGGATTGGTGGAAAAGCTTCTGGGTGAAATCATGTGACTTCCAGGGAGGCTTAAAAATCCTCTTTCTGAAATCGCAGCACTAGTGAGAAAGCTAGCCCTGAATGGACCCTGATTTCCAATAGGGTGGCAAGAAGCATTGGTGATTGGTCCTGATGGTAACCATTTCCAAACTTAAAAAAGGTTTCAACACAAATGTTTTTGAAGGAAGAGCCCACTGACACTCCCCCTACACCATCAACCAACCCACCCACCCACCCAACACCTGCCCCCCTGGTTCCAGTTCTTCATTAACTCCCCCCCCCAGTCTGTCCTGTCCCTCATCACAGATGGGTCAGTTTGGGCGCCTCTTGGATTCTGCCCTGAGTAGAAGCATGGTGGGTGGAAAGGTCTGTGTATGTGGGATGAGACTCGCAAGGTCCGTGGTGCTGGTTGGACCCCATCTGAGGAGCCCCGTTGTATTCCATGCTGGGCGGCTGGTGATGCTGGAGGGGGTTCAGCCCATACAGAGAAGGAGTAGAAGCAGGCATAGAATCCACATAGTTGCCACCAACGTACACGGGACTGCCTTGCATATTAGGGGGGCCGTAGGCGCCTCCTCCATTACCCTGTAAGACGTGTGGATCGTACTCGGGTGCCGTGTTGGCATACTTCTGTTGGGTGGGGCAGCTTTTGATGGGGTTTTGGTAGGCAGTGGGCATGGCGTAGGCATTCTGGTGGGGTTTGTTGAAGGAGGGCGGAGACGGGGCGTCATAGTTTGAAGTCATGGGGTGCAGAGCGTTCATGAACCCAGCAGAGGACTGCATGGGCTGGGGAGGGCTTCCGGTGGGGGAAGGCCCCCCGGAAGAAGACCCCAAGCCTTTTGACTTCTGATCCTTTTTGTATTTCATTCTCCGGTTCTGGAACCAGATCTTGATCTGCCGCTCACTGAGATTCAACAGGTTGGCCATTTCCACCCGGCGGGGTCTGCAAAGGTAGCGGTTGAAATGGAATTCCTTCTCCAGCTCGACCAGCTGGGCGCTCGTATAAGCAGTGCGGGCCCTCTTGGAAGCCGAGGAGCCTGGAGGGCTTTTCTCACCGCTGCAGCTTTCTGGAAAGAAGGTCGGGAAATGAAATCAAAGATAATTACTTACATGCAGAAAATTGAATGCACAGGCCTCTTAATAAATCCTCAAACAGGCGAGAAGACTTCAGCCTCCCCTCCTTCTCCTCCAGTCCCCACTCCATAATCATGTCATTTATTAAGAGTTCTGTTCTCCAAAGCTGCCCCCTCGCTTTATGAAAATTTGATCATGTCATGCAGAAAAGGAATCCAGGGCTATTTATTTGGGAGTCGATTATTTTGAAGCAGACCCTTTCAAAGGAAATTACGTCTGGCAAGTGGGCAGTGTTTGGAAAGCAAAATTAATCAGATGCTTGTGTACGCAGCCTTGCAACATTTGTATCCCTGGTTTTGGGTTGTTTTGGAGGGTTTAGCCAGCACGCAAAATCAAACACATGCAGGACTGGAAGAAGCAGATTTTAAACAGATACTTGCCAAAGAATGACTGTTACAAATATGCACAAT